GAAGAATTGATGGTTGTATGATAGAAAGTGAACTGCCATGACAGTGAACTGACTGTTCTTATGGACAGCTGCTGTTTCTACTGTCACCTGGAAGATTTAATTTAATAAAACTGTAGGCTCTTTTTCAAGGGGAAAGTTACTCAAGAGTCTAGGGCTTAAGTATTTGACCTAAATGCCCTGGTGGTGCAGTGATTAACAGCTCTTCTGCTAACCAAAAGGTCAGCGGTTCAAGCTGCTCTGCAGGAAAAAGATGTGACAGTCTGATTTTGTAAAGATTACAGCCTTAGAAACCCAATGGGACCGTTCTGCTCTGTTGAACAGAGTTTCTAGGAGTCCGAATTGACTTGACACCAATGGATTTGTTTTTCTTTCTTTCTCTCTTGGCCCTGGTGTTATTTAGGCTGGTCTCTTATGAAAAGACCTCCACCTCTGAGCTATTGATTACAAACTTTTACATGTAGAGGAAATGCACACAGCTATTGAACCTCACTGCCGTCAAGTCGGATCTGACTCATAGCAACCCCTCCTTGGGTTTCTGAGGCGCTATCTCTATGGAAGGAGATTGCCCAGCCTTCCTTCTGATGAGTGGCTGGTGGGTTTGAACCACCAGCCTTCTGGTTAGCAGTCAAATGCCTTAGTCACTACAGCACCAGATAAGTAGGTGATTAAAATAATTATTAGGGTAGCTGCTTATTAGACCCTATTTGCCGTCACTTTACATTCATTGTCTCAGTGAGTTCTCCCAACAACGCTATAGGTTGTAGGTACTATTATTATATCTCTTTTTACAGAAAAAGCAACTGAGGTTCATAGAGATTAAGTAAGTTACACAGAATCACCCGGTATGTATTGACAGGAAGGGTTAAAACAAAATCCATGTGACACTGCAGCTTGTATTCTCTGAAACCGTGCATGAACAACAATAGGCCTAAGATCCTGATGGCCTGGTTCAAGCCAGACTCTCTGATCCATAGCAGAAGTGGAAAACTGGAAGTTTGCTGAGGAACATTTGTATGATACCATGCCTTTGATCAGTCCACAATCAGTATCACTCACAGTTTTGGTGTCTTTCTAATAGACAGCATTCCAGTAATGGGTCTTCTAAGAGTGCCTGCCTTGGAGCTAAAATATCAACTACATTTATCTAACTTGGAGTTTGTTTTCAATCCCATCCCCACCCCTGAACATTGGGCAGTGTGGTAGCATAGTGCCTAAGGCACTTGACTGCTAACCAGAAGGCTGGCGGTTCAAACCCACCAGCCACTCCTTGGAAGGAAGATGGGGCAATCTACTTCCATAGTGATACTGCCTCAGAAACCTAAGGAGGGGTTGCTATGAGTCGGATCCGACTCGACGGCACATAACAACAACAACAGAAACATTTTTAACTGTCACAGCTGAGTGAGGGGAAGCTGCTGGCATCTGGTGCGTAGAGGCAAGGGATGCTGGTAAACAGCCTACGGTGCACAAGACACCGTCCCCCAAACAAAGAATTATCCAGCCCAAAATGTCAATAGTGTGGAGGCTAAGAAACCCTGAGTCTAACTTATTTCGTTCTCTTATTACTTGGGAGAACCTTGAGACCTTAGCAATCTCTCAGTGGTCTCTCAGGATTTGGTTTCTGAGGCTAAGTGCTTCCTATGTAAATACTTAGGAACTCAGTCCATTAAGTCTCACTCTGGCACTTTCCTTATACCTTCAGCATAGTGGCCTGAGGCCTACTAAATGATTAAGTTTTTTAAATAGGGTAATACTTTTTCTTCCTGATGTTTCCAAGAGACAGGCTCAATTGGCCAGCAGTTCTACCAGAAGAGAACCTGGTGACAGTACTCTAATCTGTCACTGGCATCTTTAGCCCCTAATCTGTGTTTACATGCCACTGAAAATTGACTCTCCCTTGTGCCAGGCTCCGTTTCTCCTCAGCACTCTGGCACCATTGGCACAGAGCACATTCCCAGTCTCTTCCACACAGTGCAACCATACATGCTTATTTTATTGCACAGCTGCTCTCCAAAAGATGTTTCTTGGGGCTTGGACTGTACAGGATGCCTCTGAAACTGTGGGTTACAGTCTTAATCATTTCTGTTCCCTGATGTAGATTTACAACACTCTTCAGGCATCTGGTATTTTTTCTTCTACTGTTTCCTGATTGTGGTTCTCATCTCCTTCCCCAGATTTTAAGCTTCCAGAACATGGGGTTTGTTTCTTCAATTTATCTTTTCAGCTCCTAGCATTTTGTTCATCTCTACTGAGAAAGTCAATTTGCCTTCTGTTTGGGGTTATATGCTTTCCTGTTAAAAGGTGGAGGAAATGATAAGGAACTACAGAAATTTGAGAGAGACGGGTGCTCAAAGGGTGGTAGGTGTCAACCATCTAGATAGGAAGGCAGGGAACTGAGACTAGATCACAGTGAAATGGGGTAATTCTTTCCAGGTAAGTGGTAAGCCTTGGAACTGAAAAATGATTTTGAGTAAAGTTTCTATTAACAAAGTACTGTAGTCAGTTTATCTTCCTCATGACCCAGCATTCACCAACCACTCCCAAATCAGATGTAATTATTATAGGAGAATTTTCTGTGAAGGTTATAACAAGAGTGTATATTTACCTCATCTAAATGATATGCCATGGGCTCCTCATATGGGTTTAAGGTCAGCGGACTCATTGATGACACTCCAAATGCCACCTCCTTCTTAGGCCTTCAGGGGGATGCTATTTGGAACTATGTTTTGGATTTGCAGGATTTGCCTGATTGTTTGGGGAGGTATTAGTTTATCTAGAATAGTGTTTCTTAACTTTTATTTCATTATTGCCCTCCTAGGGAACCTTTTTAAATATCTTTTCCTAACCTTCTCCCTTCCCATGAAATTTTCGTATCACAGATACACTGTTTATCTATCTATATTCTGTAGCCCATTGGAGAAAAGCAAATGTTAGTACTACCTAAGAATATTTTGCACCCATAAACCAACGTTCACCCCGATGGAGACAATATTGTCCACATTGAGAATCCATAATCTGTCATCAAGTATCATCATCTTAAAAATGAACAGTTATTTGTGCCTTTTCCTTATAAATTAAAACTGGGACAAGAGCACCATTGCGGTGTAGTAAATTACTTAGTGTGGCTTTTCTACCCATAAGTCTTTGTAAACTCCAAGGTGGGATTTTCTATGAGCAACTGAGGAGCTCCTGATTGCTGAAGTTGTCCACCTGGAGTATTTCTGTTGGGAGTGGCACAAAACAATGTTCTGGGAGGTGCCCACTCTCTCTCAGGTGCTTAGAGTTCTGATGATATGATTGGCTAGTTTGACCACCCTGCCGGGCTCAAAAGGAGGCCTCCTAGAGGCAGAACTCTCTGACTGCTGGTGGAGGAAGACGTGCTGCCAAAAGAGACACGTGCCTGGGAAAGAGAGGCAAGAGACATGCATTGCTGAGTGAGACACCGAGGGACCAGCACTGTTGGGAAAGAGACTGTGAGAGACTGTTGGCTGAGGGATGGTGGGCTGGGAGAGAGACTGAACGTTCTTCCTGAACTTGAGTTGAGTTCTGTGTGGCCACTGCATCGAATTATCGAACCCAGGAGAGAGGTGGTGGGTGCTTTGGGAGGAACAGTTGGTGAAAGGGCTGGAGGGAGGCAGCATGTCTGGCTTTATAGGACTAGGCCTTGGGTTACTGCTGGTAATCCTGTCTTCCTCTTGTAGGATTAGAGGAGGTCAGAACATGTGGCCTCCTTGCCGTTTTTGCAACCATCAGTAAATTAATGTTGAAAGAGTCTTCTGAAGCAGTGGTCTGCAGTAATTAGAAAAGAGTGAAAAGAGTACTTTTCTCATATTTCATGGCTCCTATGGAGGGTATTTTATCCCTGAACAATCTTTTGACCATTTGAAGAAAGAAAGGTAAACACTAAGAGTAGCAGAGCAGTTTAATATCTAGAGACAGATAGATACCAAGACCCTTTTGCAGTGATCTGCAGGAGAAAGCCTAGGGGGCTCAGTTTCTCAGAGGAGGGGTTGGTTTGCAGCAGTGAATACTGTTGAGGTTGTACGGCACACAGGAAGGTTCTAGTCTCCCAACAGGCTGTGGCTGTGTCTGATCAGAAGGGTGGTTGTCTATGAAATGCACCTCGGAAGGAGGAGGAGGAGGAAATGACATGTTCATGTAAATGAAATACAGCTGCAAATTAAAGTGTCACCCTGTTTAAAAAAAATCCATTTTTTATTTAATTGGTTACCAAGGAAAAAAATGTCATACAGAAGCGTATATCTCAGAAAATTAAACCATGAGATGTTACAAGTGAATCTCAATTCAAGGAGGTTCTCGTGGTGGGGGGGTTATAAAATATTGCCTTAATAAAAATACTCTGATGCTGCAAAGCTAGGCTTATAAATTTCTGCTGTGTTACATGCCAGGGGTTCAGAAGAGATCCGCAAATATTACCTCATTTGTTCTTAACTGTCTTTCTATCCAATCAGCTATATGCTAGCTGCCTTTTCCCTGGAGGAAGCCTCCATTTGAAATACTTTATTCGGAAGAAGGTCGTATACAAAAGGAGGAGATCCTTTCTCCCAGAGAGCACTGCTTGCTACAGAGACATCCAGGGACTAGAATGCTACTGGATTTTTGTGTTCATGGTGTTCCTCTTGTTCCGCTTTTCTCCCATGTTTTTGATCAAAACTCATCTGTCTCTTTAGACAGTGAGCCTCCCATACAGTGTGTGTTACAATGCCAGCCACATGTGGACTCTAAAGAAATGTTAAGTAATCATGGGAGGAGGTGATGGATGATAGGATTATATTTCCATGTAGTATTGTTCTTTGGAAAATGCGTCTGGTTTCTCTTTGAGATGGGTCTGACAGATGGGGCTCGTCAGCTTTCTTCAGCCTTAGTTGTGGTTCTTCCTCTTACCCCTCTTTTACTAATCACAGTATTGTTTTACTTTCTACAGGGGAAACATGTAGATGAATAATATAATGTGCTCCCTTTGTCTTCCTCCCCACCAGGAGCTGTGATCGGTGATGGACAATCTGCAGTGGCCAGTAACATTGCCAATACTACCTACAGGCTCCAGTGGTGGGACTTCACTAAGTTTGATCTCCCAGAAATCAGTAATGGTAAGCCAAGGCAGAGCTGAGGGTACTCATGGAAGGAGTATCTTTTACTGGTGCGCCAGAACTCAGGAACTCATGTACCTGGGTTTCTCTAATCTTCCTTTTGAGCATCTGACTGCCATGTCCCATTTCTGCCTTGTGCTCTTCTGTAACTCTAAGTTAAATGATTCAGCAAACATGTATTGAGCGCTTACCCTGAGCAGAAAACAATGCTAGGTACTAAGGTGAACACAGGGAGCTCTGGTAGCATAGTGGCTGAGGCACTTGACTGCTAGCCAGAAGGCTGGCGGTTCAAACCCACCAGCCACTCCTCGGAAGGAAGATGGGGCAATCTACTTCCGTATTGATCCTGCCTCGGAAACCCAAGGAGGGGTCACTATTGAGTCGGGTCCGACTCGACGGCACATAGCAACAACAACAAAGGTGAACAAAAAATGAACATTTCATCTCTGCCCTAAAGAATTCTGCAATTCAGACTAAGTAGTTCTTTGACCTAAACCTACAAGCTTGGGTGGAACTGAGAAAAGGAGAAAAAAAAAAAAGAAAGAAATATAGGAACTGAGAGCTAGACATTGAGGAAAGATTATAGCAATATTAAGTTCATTTTTTAATCCAGGTCTGATTGGAACAAAGTGAGTGGCATGATTGATAGGGGATTTAAAACAGTCCAACTTCCTTGCTTCTAGAGAATTACACAATTACACAATCCCATGTCCCAGTTGTTCAGTTGGGATCACATTTTAAACATTTCATTTCACTTTCTAATGAAGGCCCTTCTCTCATGTATTCTTAAGGTATGGCAGTTCAGCCTTTGCTTGACTACTACTGAAAAAAGACCACAGTCTGACAAGATGGCCTAACCCATCACTCTAAATTCCTGTTAAAGTGTTCTTTCTTGGACCAAGCCACTGTTTCCCTGTCACTTCCTCCCATTGGTCCAATTTCTGCCTCTGAAGCTCTACAGAATAAGTCTAATGATACCTTTCCCAAGTGATAGGCCTCTGGATACTTGAAGGTAAACTGCCATTACCCTTTAAATCTTTCTTTTCAGGCCAGACTTCTTAGATTCCTTCTACCGATCTGGTTTCCAAATCCTTGACAGTTGTATTCATTTTCCTTTTTGATTTGGGGCGGCCACAACAGAATACTCCAGATGTGAATTGTCCAACACATAAATACAGTGGTGCTTTGGACAATAGTAGTTCAACCTAAAATTTCAGCAGCTTTTTTCTGAAGTCACTGTTGAGTTGAGTTTGCAGTCACTTAAAATTCCTTGATGATTGTTTCTAAACGAGGACTCTGCCATCCTGTGATTACTTGTACAGCTTGAATCTTTTAAAAGCCAAAGCAGATTTGTATTTGTTTGTATTGAATTTTCTCTTGATAGCGAGTGCCTGTTGTAGTGCCTACTTCTGCTTCTCAGCATCTTTTTGAATTTTGATTTAGCCATTCTCTCAATCTTCCATTGTCTTCTAATTTGTTAAATGTGCTTTCTCTGACTTCTTTCAGATTGTTAGCAAAAATGGTGACTCAGTTAGGACATTGCACCAGGCCTTACAGTATGTTACTGTGGACTTCCTCTGTGTTGATTGTGGTTCATGAATTAGCACCCGGGGCTTGGTTGTTCACATCTGAAGCCCACGTTTGTCTTCCTTGCCTTTAGGATATTCTAAGAGTTTGTCAGATGCCTTAAAGAAATCAAGATATTCTCTGTGGTATTTCCCAAAATGCCAGTCTTGGAGTCCTTATCAGACAAGGAAAATAAGGTTAATTTTTTGTATCCTATTCTTAGTAAAACCTGTTTCAATTATCCATTTCTCTTTAAGTGCTCATAAGCCACATGTCCAATAATCTGTCTTTAACTCTGCTGGAATCTACTGCAGTCCCCCTTTTCCCTTATTGAAGACTAGGTTTTTTCATCTCTAGATTTCTGGCCTAGATTTTACTTGCCATAATTTATTTAGTCATTTTATTTCTTATAAGACCTTCTTTGTTTCTTTTATTATAATTTGAAGTAGATAATACATTGACAGTTCAAAAATTTAAAAACTAGACAAGCATATAGTGAGAAGTCTCCCACCCATACATGTTAGCCATCTACCTCTCTTCCCCATAATCCAAATTTTCTTTCCACTGTTGTTGTTATGTGCCGCCGAGTCAGACCCAACTCATAGTGACCCCTCCTTGGGTTTCTGAGGCAATATCACTCACTACGGAAGTAGATTGCCCAACCTTCCTTCTGAGGAGTGACTGGTGGGTTTGAACTGCCAGCCTTCTGGTTAGCAGTCATGTGCCTTAGGCACTATGCTAGCACTTTCTTATATATCTTTTCAAGAATATTAATTTGTTTATACAAGCATTACAAGTTTATGTTTTCAACCTTTTTTTTTTTCACCGAAAACACCATAATCTCTTAACCAGTCTCCTGTTAAAGGCCTTTTAAGTTGATTCAGTCTTTTGCTGCACAAACTCTGCTGTAGTTAGTCATGTTGCCCACGTGCAGCTATATTGTTGTTAGGTGCCATCTAGTCGGTTCCAACTCATAGTGACCCTATACACATCACAATGCAACAGTGCCCAGTCTTGTACCATCCTCACCACCGTTGCTGTGCTTGAGCCCGTTGTTGGCAGCCACCATTCATGGAGGGTCTTCCTCTTTTTCACCAGCTCTCTACTTTACCAAGCATGTTCTCCTTCTCCAGGAACTAGTCCTCCTGATAACATGTCCAAAGTATGTGAGGTGATATTGCTCCATCCTCACTTGTAAGGAACATTCTGGTTATACTTCTCTTAAGACAGATTTGTTCATTCTTATGGCAGTCCATGGGACATTTAATATTGTTCACCAACACCGTAATTCAAAGGAATTGATTCTTCTTCAGTATTCCATACTCATCATCCAGCTTTCACATGTATGTGAGATGATTGAAAATTCCATGATTTGGATCAGGTGCATCTGAGTCCTCAAAGTAACATCTTTGCATTTTACCACTTTAAAGAGGTCTTTTGCAGCAGATATACCCAATGCAATATGCCATTTGATTTCTTGACTGTTGCTTTTATGGGCACTGATTGTGGATCCAAGTAAAATGAAATCCTTGTCAACTTCAGTCTTTTCTCCATTTATCATGATGCTGTTTATGGGTCCAGTTTGAGGATTTTATTTTTTCTTTATGTTGAAGTGTAATTCATAATGAAGGCTTTTGTTGTTGTTGCCCCATTAGCTCTTTTTCATATATGGACATTGTTACAGCACGTACAAATACGTATGTAGAAATATCGTCTGCTAAACTTATATTTGGTCGTGGGTATATTCCCTTTTGCTCAGACATACCTGATCATTTAGTCTGTCTACCTGTGTATCCACTGTGGATTAATAGTGGTTATTACTGATAATACTGTTTGGGCATGTAAAATTGTTTATCTTTGTTGTCTGTACCTCTTGTGCACCTCTCCGCATCTTCCTTTTACTCATTGTTACTGTGCTGGTCACTCATTTTTGGTATATTGCCTTTCCCTTCACCCATACCAATATTGTGTCTTACCTATCTAGCTATTTGCTCTTTACTCCCCTGCCATCCCTGGTAACCAACAAAGAAAGTTTCCTTCCATATGTAAATCTTCCCTTCACTTTTTTTACAACAGTGGACTCATAGTATTTGCCCTTCTGTAGTTGACTTACTTCACTCAGCATAACGTCCTCTAAGTTCATCCACATTATACAGTGCTTCACAGATTCTACATTATTCTTCAGTGTTGCATAGTATTCCATTGCATGTATGTACCATAGATTGGTTATCCATTCCTCTGTTGACAGGCACTTAGGTTGTTTCCATTTCTTTGCTATTGTGAATAGTGCTGTGATGAACATGGGTGTGCATATATTTATTCATGTCCTGGCTCGCACTTCTTTAGGATATGTACCTAGTAATGGGATGGCTGAATCAAATGGTATTTTCTATTTCTTACTTTTTAAGAAATTGCCATACCGTTTTTCACAGCAGTTTTATCATTTTACAGTCCCACTGACAGTGTATGAGCATCCCAGTCTCTCCACATCCTTGCCATCATTTGTTATTTTCTGTCTTATTGAACACTGCTATTATTGCAGGGGTGAGATAATATCTCACTGTTGCTTTGATTTGCATCTCTCTAATGGCTAATGAGGAGCTCTGGTAGCATAGTGCCTAAGGCACTTGACAGCTAACCACAGGGCTGGTGGTTCAAACCCACCAGCTACTCCTCAGAAGGAAGATTGGGCAATCTACTTCTGTAGTGATACTACCTCGGAAACCCAAGGAGGAGTCGCTGTGAGTCGGGTTGGACTTGACGGCACATAACAACACCAACAACAACAATGGCTAATGGGGCAGGCCAGGGAAGTGAGTTGGATGCAGCAGGCAACTGTTTGTTGGAGCGCCTGGGGCAGGATGGAAAGTGAGCTAGCGCAGCAGGTGGGTGTTGGAGTGGCTGGGGGAGGAAGTGAGCAGAGTGGTTTGGAACAGCTAAGAGACACAAACTTGTCTGTCAGTTTATTGTACGGTGGTGGCTTGTGTGCTGCTATGAAACTGGAGGGTATGCCACTGGTGTTTCAAATGCCAGCAGGGTTACCCATGGTGGACAGGTTTCAGCAAAGGTTCCAGACTAAGACTGGGAGAAGGAAGGGGCCATCTACTTCTCAAAGAATTGAGCAGTGAAAACCTTATGAATAGTAGTGAAACATTGTCTGATATATTGCTGGAAAACTTTATGAGTAGCCCTGAAACGTCCACTACAGTGCCAGAGGATGAGCCCCTCAGGTTGAAGGGCACTCAGAGTACGACTGGGGAAAAGCTGCTTCCTCAGAGTAGAGCCGACTTTATGATGTGGCTAGGGTAGAGCTTTTGGGACCTCCATTTGCTGATGTGGCATGAGTCAAGATGAGAAGAAACAGCTGCAAACATCCATTAATAGTTGGAACATGGAATATACGAAGTATGGATCTAGGAAAATTGGAAGTTGTC